TTGCACAAAGTTTATGAAAACTGATGTATACCATGCAGAGCAATTGTGAAGATAGTGTTTTAGTCCCATTTTAACATTTTATTTCTGGTGCCTAGCATCGTGTCTGGCACAAAAAGCTTCTAAGGAAATAAACGAGTGAATACTAAATTTGTATAAAGTGAGAGGTGGTATAGATTTGATTCATTCTCACTTAAAACTCAGGGTACAGTTCTCCTTAAATATTTTATCAAGCTCTAAGAATTGATTTGCAGTCCCCATTAATTTTTAAATGCATATCAGAAATTATTTTCTTTGGCTTGGTGGTGTCCAAAGTTTCTGCCTCTTAATTAAGACCACCAGTGGCTTCCCATACAATGTGCCCTGCCCTGCCCCTCTGTCCAGCTGCCATCCCTGTTGTGGTTGAGTTTTATTGCAGAGCCAGTTCTGAAAATAGCAAGAGAGACACACATATTCCCACTTGGGAGGGAGCCCAGTCACCTCTGGCAGTGTGTGTGGGCTGATGTGGAGACTGGGGGAAGTCTGGCTCATGTCTCCTAGAAACTGTACAACGTGCCAAGTGATGAACCAGATTAATTTTTAATCATTTCTAATTCTTCACATGATTTTTATTTAATACCATTAAGTGATCCATATATTCTTCACAGTGAGTCTCGAGTGCATACTCTGTAAAAATTATGTTTCTGCCTTGGCTCGTCTTGGCCTGATTATTTATGACCAGACAGCAAACTATTGCTGAGGTCTAGAGTTTTGTGGAAGGGAGGAGATATGAATTCAAATTCTGGGGAAGGGGGCCTGGGGATTTGGCAGGTAGAGTGAGAGAGGTATAATAGGGTGTGATAGGATGGTTGAGGCAGTGGAGACCTCTGGTAACTGGCAAATTTGGAGGGACTGCATAATCTGAAACATTCAGTTTTTATAATAAATTCAGTCACTAATTCATAATTATTTTTTTAAATATGAAGTTTCACATCTGCAAAGGAAAGTTGAACCCTCTGCAATTAGAAACCACTAAGCAGAAGCCTTTCTATAAAGGTTGTAGTGATATGGAAAGTGAGAAATGCTAGAGCGATTTCAATGACAGCACCATCTCCTCTTTGCCACGGCTTATAGTTTACAGGACATCTTCAAGAAGGTTACATTATTTGACCTTTGTGATAATCCTGTGAGGTTGCTAGGACTGGTGCTGTTTCAGAGAGAAATTTCCCATTTCACAGAGAAAGTATTAGATTGAGTATGAAAAACTTGCCCAAGGTTATTTGGTTATTGGTAGATTCTCTTGCTTATTCCTTTATATCAAGGAAAAATACTTCCCTACTGGGTGACAGGCACTTGAGACACATTGTCTCATTAATCCTCCCAACAAGTGTAACAAGCTTCATTTTAAAAATTAGAAAGCTACACCATCACCATTAATAAACTTTTATCAAGCCTCAGCCTAGTGGCTGTAGCCTGGGCTAAAGGCTTCAAATGGACTATCTCACTGTACCCCCATAACAGATATCCTAGGCCAAAACTAGGTACTCTTAGAATCTTAGTTTTACAAAAGAGAACACGATTTTTCCCAGAATGATGAACTATCTTTCTTGCCCAGAGCCTCACCAAGGAGCAGGTGGTGAGGCTGGAGTTTGAACTACCGCTATAGTGGTAGTACTTTGAGGACTGCAAAGGGCCCTTAGATTCGCCCACATGAAACTGATGTTGACAGCTTGTCTTCTACAACAGCAATTTCGTGTGGCTCGACCTAATGAAATGCACCTTATCTGTCTCCAATCAATCTTAAACTAATTTCCAGAAACAGGAAACAACTATGAACGGATAGATTGTTTGGGGTGTTTTTGTGTTTTTAGCTGTGCTCAAAAATCTGCTAATCATGTATTAACTTAAGAAAAACCCTGAACTTGAAAACTGAGGAAATCCATATATATTTGTTAGATTTAAGTACAACTTTTATTTTCCAAACATTTATTTCTGTCATAAACTAAGGGTTTCTAAGTTTTAATTGATGCCTAAATGACAATATTTTTATGAGCGTTATTTCAGTTTAATGCCACTGAAAATTGGTATGATTGTAAAATTATAATTATAAAATTATGAATTAAGGGACCCAACCTTCAGTCACATCTTTCAGTGGAAGACTCTTATTTACAAATGTCACCTTAGTTTAACCTGTGTATTAAAAATATGCATGATGTTTGGTGTAGTGGGAAAGAATTAGAATTAAATTCAGTAAAGCTTTGTTTCTATTTTTTGTTCGCCATAAAGATTTTTTTTAAAAATAGCTGCTTTACTTTCCTAAACCTCACTAAAGGTGTCCTGTTAATGGAAAAGGCCTGGGACGTCCTCCAGTGTCACCTCTGTGGAAGTGCAAGCCGAGTCTGGGCTCACACATGTGTGCCTTCTTCTTTGCACACACCCATTAGCTCCTAAAAATACACATCGGGTACCATTCTTCAAGCTAGTTCTGCTCAGCCCCTGTACCTTTTGAGTTGGAAGCCTGAAAGAAATTTAAGAGATTAATACATCTATCACCTTTTGCTAAAGAACTACAGTGCCTGAGTACGGCTCACCAGAATGTGTATGAGGTTGATGTCTGGTATCCTTCAGATTCAAACATGATGCCCTTTACTCTACTGCACTTTCAATTTGAGTGTTCAGCATTCCTCTACTGACGAGTATTACACCCCTTGTCCAAGAAAGTAGGTGTGTATATCCATAAATTTGGTGATTCAAAAATATTTTAGAGAAATAAAACTAATTAAACTTTTAAATTAAAGATACAACTTGATGGAAGCAAGTTCTTCATCACTTGTGTATCATGAAGGGCAGTACCTCACTGTCTTCTTACCCTTCATGCTTGTATAATAAAACGTTTTTTACATGTATGTTTTATGTTATTAGCAGAGGTTAGACAATGGGAGGAGATCCATGGAAAAAAAAGCATGTACAGGTTTTCTTATGATTTACAAATTGTTATTGAAAATAAAAAAGGGAGGTTCAGCTGCCTGCCACCTTCAAAAGCCAAATTCATGAGGCAGATCCTGGTGAAAGAGTAAAGAGGTTTTACTCAGGTACAGCATGATCTGGGATAATGACAGACACTTGTCTCGTAGCTCAGTTCCTCCATAAAACCAAGACAAAGTCCAGTGGCCAGAGTTCCTGCTTCAATTTAAAGTCCAGTCCTGCAGAGGCTGCAGGCAGCTGTTCAAGGTGGATTAGCTCGTTCCCAGCTGCCTTTCATTTCCGCTCCCTCCTGGCGGCTTCATGTGGAGCTTGCACAGCCATGGGTGATTGGGCTGCCAAGGCCACGAGGTCACACAAACACACAGGCTAGTGTGTCCCAGGTGGGCAAGAGGGAAAGAGAGACAGGTTCCCTCCCGAAGGCCATGGACCATGTGGCCCACGGAGAGAACAGACAAGTCCTCTGTGCAAGTCCAGATCACAAGTAAGAGTGATGAGCAAGAGAGTTTCTTTTTCTAAAATTATATTAACTTGGGTGTGGGATGGACCAGGTGCTTTCTCAAAATGACCAATCAACTTTCCATACTTTCATGTGCTTGGGGTGGGTCCACCTCCCATCCAATTCCTTCTTTCCCCGGACTGGACTGACAGTCTGGTGTAGCACCTCCTCCTGCTGCTATTTTGACTTCTGTGATACATGTGCCTGCCTTCCTCTAGTCCTGTCTCCAGTCTGGCCCTGGAAGGGGCAGGGAGGAAGGGCTTTTCGCAGGCTCAGTGTAAGAACCTTCCCCCACCACCAAGTTGGCCACAGGGAGACTACCTGGTTTTTGACCAACTGTTCACCAGTAACAATTCTAATTTACTAAGCACAGAATAACAGCACTGGTTTAGGATTTATTGAAGGGCTCAATGTGATTTCTTATCCTGGGCTTCTTCTAAAAGACATGAGATGGTGAATGAATCAATGGCGTTCTGATGTTGATTTTTTTTATCATCTAGTCAGGGAATTTATTGATTATAAGCTGTATTTTTTAAACTTTGGCCACCTTTATGATTTTGTCCATATCTGAACATAATATCTGTTATTAAAGTTCTCTTTGGAAGAGCTTACTTTCTAACTTAAATTTTCAAAAGGAAGTGCCTCATAATCATTGCTATGTTTTACTCAGGAGAGTAGTTTCTTATTCCATATAATTGCTTTTTTAAACTTTAACTTTAAAAACTCAATTTTTAAAAATACTGTTTGTTCACTTAACATTTAAAAATGAACTTTATTTTACTACCATAATTTACTGGTTAGATTTTTTCTAGTACATGTTAATATACACTCTTATTAAAATGCAGAAATCCACCCATGTAGTAGTACTCAGAAGCACCTTCTATTTAGACCTGAACCAATGTCTGGGGAAAAGTGGCTGAAAGAAGATGGGTAATTACTAAAAGAGTGACCCGTAAGGAGTGCCACTGTTGACACAGTTTTCTGTTAAAACTTGGCAAGGTCGAATGGCCCTCAGAGTCAATCAAGCCTGCCATTCAGTTAAAGAGGCGCCACGTGGTGGTCAGTGTCCTTTTTAGATATTGCCCCAGTTTCCTCTCGAGGAGCCCCCTTATTAAGGGAAGATGACCTCTACTTGGTTGGCCTGTAAGGCGCAGGCAGTAATGAATTTTTTATTTTCTGTGAGGCTCATTCTGAATGGGTTTCAGCTTTTGGCCAGTGTATACGTATGTAAAAAGGTGACCAATCGAATTCAAATGTAATGAGGGTGAAGTGTGCTATTCAGTGCAGCCTCCTTTGTTTTGAGCCCTAGTGAGTTCTTTGCATGAAAACAGTGCAGCTTTCCTTCTAGCTTCTGAAATCATTTTGTCTGGCTGGGTAGGGTTGACATCTTTTCCAACCCATTTCAAAAATGAGATATAGTTTGTTGGGTTTTTTTCAGTTTAAATACATATTTTCTAAATGTGCCAAGATGTTTGGATGTAAAGTCCAGAAAAAAACAAAGTATTCTTTCTGAAACATGCAAATGTGTTTTTCCATCACCTAGGAAACTATTATGGGACACCCAAACCTCCTAGCCAGCCAGTCAGCGGGAAAGTGATCACAACGGATGCCTTGCAAAGCCTTCAGTCTGGCTCCAAGCAGTCAACCCCAAAGCGAACCAAGTCCTACAATGATATGCAAAATGCTGGCATAGTCCATGCGGAGAATGAGGAGGAGGATGACATTCCTGAAATGAACAGTAGCTTTACAGGTAAAGACCAGATGACACTCTTGTCAGCGGACTCAGGGAAACTGGGCAGTGGGAGGCTTTTTGCAAAGAATTATTATTTCCTGAAAAAGAATTTGGAGGGTCACCAAAATTCTAACTCTGACCACACAATGTTGGGAGAGGTGGTCTTTTCGCCAGTCTGTATTTCAAGCTTCTTCACAAGACTATTTTAACTTCACCCAAATGTCTTAAAGAGGCCTAAGAGAAATATCTGTAGAAGGACATTGAGAATAATCGTATTGTTTCTGTCTCTTTAAAATTATATATATATATAATAGACAATGTAAATATTATATATAAATATGCACATATATATGCATATTTGTATTTTGTTCATTTATTTCATGGCCTTGACACTGTGCCATAATTATGGCTGATTGCTTATAAAGAGACATATGAGAATTTGTTTAACAGTTTAATAACAATTGATTCCATAGGGAAGGCTAACATTATCCTTTTACGTCATACCTTTGTAAGTAGAGATACAGTGGAAATATATCACTCGTTCTGTTACCACAGGCGAATTTTACTATATGCCCTATAAGGTGGAAGATAAGAAATAGATGATTATATCTTATACATGCATTCCATATTATGTAGCATATATTGCTCATTGCATTATCTATTTATATATCTTTAAGGCTCTCTACCCCCACACTTAGGTTTATATATTTTATGGGGGGATCTTCAAAGAAAGGCCTCTCTGGGTAGGACTGTATAGGTTGGGTCTTGCATATTTCCAGGAGGGACCATTCACAGAGGCGTGCTGTGTGTTCCCTGAGTTGGTGCAGTGACCGTAATTGACAATATTTTCTACAATGTGGGGGTTTGACCTTATATAGTAACTCAAAATGTAGCAACTGCGAGATATGTAAGTTTCTACAGTTTTATGACTTAGAACAATGTATTGTTTCTTCTATTTTTCTTATACTTAAATATTTTCTTTAATATTTTAGGGTTATAGTTCTCGAGGAAGTATCTATTTTCAGTGTTTGAAATCTTCCTCTCTTATAGTGGCCTCTTCTGACTTCACCATATTCAGTCATTATTTGGTTAAACTTAATTCCAATAAAGGGGAATTACTTAAATTGTGTCTTTTCTTCTTTGTACTGCCAAGTCTGATAGGATATTTAGGGAAAAGTTTGTGTTATTTGAATGCTTTCTGCAGCCTGTATAGGCTTCTTTGAGGGTTTCTCATTCTTTAAGCTCAAAAACCTAAAATTCTTCAACATGTAGAAATAATCAGAAACATTTCTTGATGGCTTTATTGTTATAACAGTAGCCCAAGCCCTCTGCAAGAAGCATTAGAAAAAGAAGGAAACCTGGATTGGTATCCCCGCTTGGTTCCTAAACATAACAGTATCTACTTCCCTTATCGCTAAAATGACTACCTAGGATTAAATCATGTCTGTGTACTTCCTTTCTAGCTCTCAGAACTTGATTCCATGAACATTGTTATTTTCTCAATTAGAATTGGGTAGGCCAGTGGCTAACCTATAGTTACAATAGCTAGAAGAAATTTGCCGTCTTTTACATTTGCCTACTGAAATCAGGTGATTTCATCCACTTAAAAATAAATATTTTAACCATTTATAGTTAGTAGCCTTCATTGGTGCAAGAGCAAATTATTTTAAAAAGTCAATATTTCTTTTAAAAATAGTGAATACTTTAATGTCTTAATCTTTCAACAAATAAGAATAATAAATTATGATATAATTCTAAACACAGATGTGGGCACAGAAGCGGAAGACCTCTGGAGTAACATGCAGTGAAATTGTTCTGCCAAGCCAGCTGAATGATCCCTAGGAAGCATGTGTCTTTATTTGTCCTTTCTTTATTAGGCATATGTCTTGATAGAAAGCACATAGGGGTTGTTGACTGTAGGTCTTGATGCTTTTCCTAGTTCTAACGAGTAAGATCTCTTGTCTCTATATGTCATGCCTCAAAAAATCTGTTGCCATAAAATCTCCACTTGAAATCCTGGCATCAAAGAAAAACTTCTGGGCCTAGATCATCTTTGCTAAAGTCAGTCCGATCCTTAGTTTCTGCACTTAGAAAGTGGCACTTAGCGGTCTTTTTTGGGTGCTTATCTTAACAACAAGAAAACTGATAGGATGCACAGAGAACTAAATGCCTCTGTCTCTCTCTCTCTCTCTCTCTCTCTCTCTCTATATATATATATATATATATATATGTGTGTGTGTGTGTGTGTGTGTGTGTGTGTGTGTGTGTGTGTATGTGGTGAGACATCCTCAGTGTATAAGGAATGTGTTGATGTAAGGCAGGGGTGTCAAACTCATTTTCACTGGGGGCCACATCAGCCTCAAGGTTGTTGTCAAAGGCCGAATGTAATTTTAGGATTATATAAATATAACTACTCCTTAAAAGTTAAGCTAGAGCTCAACACTGCTGCTGGGTAAAAACAAGGTGCCAGGCCAGATAAAACAAGGTGGAGGGCCAGATTTGGCCCCTGGGCCTTGTGTTTGCCATGTGCGATGTAAGGAATATGTTGAATGAATGCCCCCTCACTTACCAAACTACAACCAAAGACAGGTGGTAACCTGTGATACACTAATTTATAAATTCTTTCAAATAATTGATATTACCCAGTCAATGATATGTGCATCAAACTGTGTCAAAGCATTTGCACTCTGCACCACTTTAAATGGCAATCCATCAGCCACCTTGAGCATAGAGTTACAATAGCATAATGAGGTCTTGCATGTTAACAGTGTCTCCTGGTGATTCTGACATACCTTCCAAAGATACACTAGCAATGAATATGTGTTGGCTTCTAGAGAAGTAAGGATGAATCTTTTCATTCTTCCCAAGATATGAATTTATTTTGTATTGATTAGTAATTTCAAAATGTTTCTTCTCTCAGCTTAATTTCCCTTTTTCTTTAAACTTATTGTTTTTTTTAATCTGCACTCCTGGATATAAATTATAAAACCAACTCAAATTAGTTTAAGTAGGAATGGGCATTTAGGGGATCGTGGGTAACCTTGATTTCAGACATGAGATCAGAGGCACAGTCATGGTATTAGGTGATTTTCTGTATCTTTCATCTCTGCTTTCCTTTGTGTAGGCTTGTGTGTCAGGAAGGTCTTCACAAACTATGTCAAGAGGGTCACCAGCACCTCTGGTACACGAACCTATCAACATAATAACTTTGGCTTCAAGAGGCCACCTTGATAAGAGCAAAACTGGCATTTATTGGTTTGCCTTGGATTGTGTACCTGGTCCAGTCACAAAGGAAGAGTGATTGGAGCGTGACGTGGGCCCACCACCTAAGCTAGGAGTGCATTTAAGGCAGTCCCCACCTGGGTCTAGAGTAGAGGGGATGATTTTTAAAGGGAGATCTGAGTGGTGATACCAGAGGAGGGAACATGCAGAGTAAAGAAAGACCACAGACAGCCTCCTCAAAGGTTTTGTGGTTTTGGTGGCAGTGGCTGTTTCATAGGCTTGACATCCTCCATCCAACTTATGTTTACCTTTGTTCTCATATTTTTCATAGGGAGCTACTGATTAGAGAAAGATTCCATTTACAGCCCTTCATTATTCCTCAGTTTACATTCAGGAAATCAGAATGTCTATAGGATAATCACTTAGAGAGATAGAAAGAAATTGTATTTCTGATATTATGTTTTCAACCCCCCTGGAGGCTGACATTTAATATCATGGTCCTTTATAAAAATTCAACATGACGCGGGCCTGCAAACCAGACAATTGCGGTTCGATTCCCAGTCAGGGCACATGCCAGGGTTGCAGGCAGGTTCCCTGCAGGCCAGTTCTCAGCAGGGGACACACGAAAGGCAACCATACATTGACGTTTCTCTCCCCCTCTCCTTCCCTTCCCCTCTAGAGATAAATAAATAAAATCTTTAAAAAAAATTCAACATGAATGTCAACATTGCTATGGTTTGTGGATGCTTTGATGACATTACCTCTTGGTGTTTCTAGTGATAAGAAGGCAACTCATACTTAGAGCCTTCTTTTAAAACCCAAGTTAAATCCATCCACCCACATAATACTGTTCTGGAGTAACTGCCTTGGTTTTCACAGGAACATTCTCCTCACTTTTGCAAAACATACTCAGTGAGACTCACTGGTATAGCTGTCTCTAACCTCCAAGTTTTATGTGCTTTCCAGCTTGATTTGTGAGTCTTTGATCTTTGCTACTATCTACCAAAAGTGTTTTAAATAACTTATATGAAATGGATAATAATACTACTAAATCTGTGTTTTCATCATGGACTTCTTTCTTGCATTCAAAAAGTCCTCTGAGTCATGAAGCCAAATGATGCCTCCAGAATGAGAGTGCATCTGAGTCTGTCTTTTGATAACTTTCTTAGTTTAAGGGTTTGTTTTTAGTCATGATGTGTTTCTTCTTTGACATGTCCAAAATGGTGAACAATGCATTATTTAAACTTGATTTTCTCTTCTTTATTTTTAGGTAAAATATATTTGGTCCATCATTTTTATGTTTTATATTTAAAAACTCTTATCTAAATAAACAATATAGTCAATGGTCAGAAAGTAGGAAAGGGTGAGGGCTTTTAGATGCACACAGTGTTTGGGCTAAGGCCCCAGTTTGGGGTATAATCGATGATTTGTTTTTCCTCTCTCTCTCCCCATGACGAAATAGCCGATTCTGGTGATCAGGAAGAGCGCCCTCTCCAAGAAACAACGCTACCACCTGTGAATAGTAGCATCATCGCTGCTCCCATCACGGACCCTTCTCAGAAGTTCCCACAATACCTACCTCTTTCTGCAGAGGATAATTTAGGTCCTCTACCTGAAAACTGGGAGATGGCCTATACCGAAAATGGAGAAGTCTATTTTATAGAGTAACGTATACCATTGCATCTACCTGAATTTCTCCCTTTCTTTTATTCCCCTTCCTTCCCTCTCTCTAGCAGCTACAGATATAGATTTAATCTGAAAGGATGGATCACAGGCTGGTTGTAGTCTTTTATGCGATATGACAAGCTTTGCACACAAAAAAGGAATTAGCATATCATCCTAGTCATTGATCCTGACTGGCTTGATCCTGGCTTTTGATCCTGAGGAAACAAAAGGCTGATAATATACCTAAAGTTTAGAAAACTAAATTATGGTGTATATATAAATTATGGTCTAATATATAAAGAATATATTTAGCCATTAGCCATTTGTTTGTGTGAATATGTATCAATAGATACTGCTATATGTGTAGACAAATTCTGGAAGTATCTTAATACTTGAATTTGCATAAGGAATTTAAGGAATTTGTTTTCTAACCATATAATACATTTCTAGGTAGCTTAAGTATATGTTCCCATTCAAATATACAGTGTCTGGCAAAAATAATGCCCCTGTTTTATTACAAAATCTTTTCTTACAAAATCATAACTATGTCATTCTGTAACATGATATCGCATTCAAGCACACCATATGATATTTTAGGTGGAAAGTTCAAATTAAAAGTGTAAATTATTACACCCATATTATTACCCTACCAACCACACTCAAGGAGGTATTACTTCTGCTAGACCCTGTATATTTGAGCATATATTTTACAATTAGAAAAATCACGAGGATAAGAAAGTATAATTTTCTTAAAGAAGTAAGAGTGAAGGAAAGGCTTAGATTTCAGAACACCCTCTTTTAGTACCTCAAATTTCCTAGGTTGTTCTTGGATCTAAGAACAACCTAGGAAATTTGAGGTAAGTAAACTAGAGCTCTTGTGTTATCTTGCATCCAGAAGGAGGGGAAGTCCACATTTCTGCCTTCATGTTAATCACAAATACTTATTAAAGACAGAAGTGGAAGATGCGGTCCTTTCCTTGGAGCCAGAGAATCTCATCTATAAAAGATGTGAATATTATGAATTACGCCATCCTTATCAGATTGTCATGAGAATTCAATGAGATACTGGCTATAAAGTACTTGGGCTAGTACTGATTAGTTAGCATTATTGTCACAGTTATCATTTCTATCATCATCCTTTGGGTATTACAGAAGATTTTAAATATTATAAAAATGGATTTCAACTGCAAGCTTAGGATTTTGTGCTTAGCTTTTGCAATAAATTACTTTTGAAATTACATGTATTAGTAGGAAAAATTGTGTGGAGCAAGGGGAAGTACAACAGGAATTCCAGATAGAGAGTAATATGTGAAACTCATGTCCTTGGAAAAGAATGTACCAATAATTTTTGCTAATGATTGACTTCATAAGTTTGAAAAAAGTGAATTGGTTATTTTGATGCTTGGTGAGATAATTTAGTGAAGACCCAAGACTGGCTAACTTTTAGGAGACTGCAGTAATAAGTAATACGCTTACTTTTTTAAAAAGATTTTATCTATCTATTTATTTATTTATTTATTTATTTATTTATTTATTTATTTATTTTTCAGAAAGAGAGGAAGGGAGGGAGAAAGAGAGGGAGAGAAACAAAAGTGTGTGGTTGCCTCTCATGTGGCCCCTACTGGGGAGCTGGCCCACAACCCAGGCAAGTGCCCTGACTGGGAATCAAACCAGCGACTCTTTGATTCACAGCCCACACTCAATCCACTGAGCTGTACCAGCCAGGGCAATATGCTTACTTTTTATAACCTGACTTAGCTTTTTACTGATGGTAATGTTTTCTATAATATTAGACATTTACCTAATAGTTAATAGAAAAATTATGCAAAAGTGTGGCTTTTGACAACAATGGAATTTTGTCAGAAGCTATCAAATTCTGTAAATATTAAATTATTAGATATGCACCATTTATATTTTAGCCTAAATTATATATCCTGATTAATGAGTTTTCAGATGTCCTTCATTCCGAAGAGCTTCATCTTAGAATATCTTGCCTTGAATAGCAAAGTTAAATTTGTGTAGACTCAGATGTACCTGGTTTTATGTATGAGTGTGAGTATTTATAGTTTGTGAGGAATCTAAGAAATGCTGGAATTTGAAGGAATACTAAAAATGAAGCATGGGCTAACAAACCCTGGACATAATATAGAAAACAAATGTAAGAAGACTGGAATGGAAGAAAAGGCAGACTAGCTAGGAGGCTTGAGAACAAAGGAAGTTTTTACCTCATATATCCCAAACTCGGACCTGAAGAAACCAGTAACCCAGAAATACCAAGTGAAGTCTGGGCAGGGGAAGCCCCACTAAAAGCCCGCTCTCTCCAGCCAAAGCACCAGGAAAGGGTCATCCTACAAGACAGAAAACCCTCTTCAATAACTACTATAGTTTAGCCAACAACACAGAAAAACCTGTGGCCGTGTGCCTGCCAACAGAGGTCAGGTGGGGACCCTAGACCCCTACCCTACCCTCCATAGGCTGAAACTAGGAGCCCAAACTTCTCTGCCACGGTGGTTTCAAAAATGGCACAGAGACGGCTGCAACATTGCTTGTAGCCAAACAATAAAAGACAACCCCACTGTCCCTGTGTGGACTCAGTGGAGGCCATGTGGGGGAAATCATGAACCCTCACCCTGACCTAGAAGTAATGAGGCAGCCTTCTCTTCCCTATCAGGACGGTTTCAGAGGAGGTCTGGTGGAGAGACAGTACTTTTACCACCATCCAGTAGTAAGAGGCCCCCATCCCACAGAGTCAGTGGAACCAAGTTGGGAGCAGTAATGAGGCACTACTACCCTCCCAGCCATGCGGGATCAGCAGAAACCCAGAGGGGAGCTAGAACTTCCATCTTCACCCAGCAGTAATAACAAGCTCTTCTCCCATTTGGGTGTCAGTGAAGGCCAAATGGGGCCACTGTACTTTAACATCACTCATAAGTAACAGGTAGCACCATCTCTTCCCCTGCTTGAGCAGTGTCAGAAAAACCTACTAAAACAGAAGGTTTAAATGTGCTCCAGAATTCTATAGATAGCACTCTAGTGTCCCAAGTGTCCAGGTTTTAATAAAAATTCTCTTGTACCAAAATTCAGAAAAATCTCAAATTGAGCGAATAAGGATAACCTGTAGAAGCCAACACCCAGTGGCAGATATCAGCGTGATCTGGCAAATTTGAAAGCAGCCATCATGTAAGGTCTTTAATGAGCAGTTACAAACATACTTGAAATAAACGGAAAAATAGAAAATTTCAACAAAAATTAACTCTCAGGAAAGCAACAGAAGTTAAAAAAAATGGAAAAATTAAATAACCAAAATAAAAAGCTCAGTAGATAGAATCAAAGACAGAATGGAGGGGTGAGCAGAAAGAATCAGTAAACTTCAAGATAGAAAATACAAATTGCCCACTCTGAACAACAGAGAGAAAATGAACTGTGTAAAATAATGAAAAGAACTTTGGGGGGCTTTGGAGCAGTAATAGAAGATCTAATATTTGTATCCTCAGAGTCCCAGGAGAATTGAAACTTGAGTGGGGCTGAAAAGGTACTGAAAGAACAAAATTCTCAAAAATTTCCCAAAGAAATAAAACTATAGAGAAGCTCAGTGGATGCAGACAGGCTCTCTCCTCCCAAAAAACTATACCAAGATACATCATTGTCAAACTTCTGAAAACAAAGAAAAATCTTGAAAGCAATGACAGAAATAATATATTACTTATATTGGTGAAACAATTCCAATGACACTATTTCTCATCAGAAGCCACAGGCTAGCGGGAAGCAGTACAGCATTTTTCATGTACTGAAGGAAAAGAAAGACAAATGCACAGTTGTGTATCCAATGAAAATGAAAGGAAATGAAGACATTCTCAGATGAAGGAAAACTAAGCATTTGCCACCAGTAGGCTTATACTAAATGAATGGCTGAAGGTTATTTGCTAAACAAAAATAAAATTATAAGAGAAATGTTCTTGGAACATTAGAAAGGAAGAAGGAACAATGAAAGAATAAAAATATAGGTAAATAAACCCTGGCTGGTGTAGCTCAGTGGATTGAGCACGGGCCTGCGAATCAAAAGATCACGGTTCGATTCCCAGTCAGGGCACATGCCTGGGTTGCAAGCCAGTTCCCAGCAGGGGCCAGTTCCCATCAGGGGGTGCACCAGAAGCAACCATTCATTGATATTTCTTTCCTTCTCTCCTTCCCTTTCCTTCTAAAGATAAATAAATAAAATTTAATATATATATGTAAATAAAATACAATTTTTCCTCTTAAATTTTCTTATTAGGTTTGAGAGTATAGCAAAAATTATAACATTGTCTAATATGTTTTAAGTGGATGTAGAGAAAATATTTAAGACAATTTTATTATAAATGAGGGAGGGAAAGGGATATTTACGTGCATGTATTATTGTAGCAGACCCTGTCCAGCAGAGTCCGCCTGTTGTGGTTGACGACGAGAATCAGTGCACAGGAAGCAACAATCCTGTGTGGGAAAAGGGAACAGGAAGGACTACTCTCTCGAGGGGAGAGTGCCTATGGTGCCTCGGCCACTCCCTCAAGAGCGAAGCGCCTCCACCCTTGCCTAGAGAGGCTTTTATTATTTTCCTGGGGTCTTACATCAAAGAAAGATTTAATATCTATCACATAGAACATTATTGTCTACATTCTAGGTACAATCAAGGAAATAAAAATAACATGCAGAGGGGGGTGGCAATGAGATGATTAGCTCTGTCCTTGGGAGAGCTCACACAGGCTTTGGAAGTTACCTTGAAGATAGACAATATACATCTGTTGCTTTAGACCAGGGTGAGGGAGTTTTAGCAAGAGCAAGCCATAACAATCTGTATGCATTTTCTGGGCCTGATTCCCACGGGAAAACTGGGTTTGCAAGTCTGGGTACTGCCCACCACTTCACATCTGTAGGTTTTCCATACAGAACTGAGTCACATTTGCCAGGCCAACACAAACTGGTCCCCTACATACTATTTATATATATAGAAAACATATAGATT